AGAATGTACGATCAGGAGGAAGAAGTTCAGAGAACGGTGTATACTCGCCAGCGTGGACCCAGGTCTCCGTCAGAAACATAAAATCCAGTTCACGAGAGGTGAAGAAGTCGTTTAGCAGGAACGTTTTGTTTGCTATCGACCTAGCATTTAGCAAAGCCATGCAAAGTTTTCGCTCCGGGCTGGCCGAAGGTGTAGTGCGTCTCAGCTGACGAAGATGTGCGTGTTGAACGCAGCGCGGGCCGGGAGCAGTCAGTCGGGCAGGAGGAGCTGCCAGCGGGCTCCTCAGAGTCCGGAGCTCCGGAAAAACGGGGCGAATCCATCGATCCCTCACATGGCGTGCAGCGGGAGGGCCATGACATCTGATGCGTGGATAAGTCCCAGAAGAAGCCGTCAGGTATGCTTTTTGATGGACCAGCGCACCACCACGCTTTCCCCGTCGTCTAAAGCGCTTTCGGCGAGGCAGGATGCAGGGCAACCGGCGCAGGTAGGTGGGAATATCCGACAGTAGAGGGGGGGGGGCGATTTATGGTTGCCAGATGTAGGTTTGGGCAGCAGTATAAACTCCAGTGAGGGTCTGAGGTGGAGGAGAGCTTGGCGATCGTAGACAAGCAGAGCAGAGACATTCTGACAAACATAGAACAAACACAGGATAGGTAAAGGCAGAGAGCTGAGGGAGCGGCGAGCCGACACAGGCGCCATCTTCCCACACACTGGTCACAGCTGTACGGTCTCTCACGTGATCGTACACCTGCATGTGTCCCAGCCTATGACAGTAACGTGTGCTGTTCTCTCTCATCCTTTCTCCTCTATCTACTTCTCTCTCATCCTTGGTGTCTATTATCATCTGGACAACAGCTGGAAATGAGCCATGTCGGCTAAAGCTGACTGTTGATCAATGGGGACTGTCCACGACACTATAAACAAACTAAAGTCAAAGTATTGTTACCGAATCTCTCGAGGGCGTCGGCCATGGCCTGGTTCTTCACCATGTCGATGAGACCCCGGCCCAGGCAGAAGTGAGGGAAGATCAGCAGGACGTTCTTCAGGATGTCGTTAATCCCCCCGACCTCCTGAGGACAGGAAGTCAACAACAGGACGTCAACAACAGCACGTCAACAACACAAACAGGAAGTCAACAACAGGACGTCAACAACAGCACGTCAATAACACAAACAGGAAGTCAACAACAGGAGGTCAACAACACAAACAGGAAGTCAACAACAGGACATCAACAATGTTAGGGAATCATTTGCTTAGATATTCAACCTTCGACACAGTTCATAAAGCGTCTAACAAGTAACATGAAATGTAATGAGTCCTAAAACATGAGTCAGCATTATGAGTCCTAAAACATGAGTCAGCATTATGAGTCCTAAAACATGAGTCAGCATTATGAGTCCTCACGTTGTTCCCGAACAGCTCCATCACGAAGGTGGAGATGCTGCCGTTGATCCCGATCAGGATGTTGACGCTGGTCAGAACCACGTAGGCCGTGCTGGGGATCGTGAAGAAGAAGGAGGCCGGATACATGAGAGGGGTGATGGACCACCTGGTGGAGACAGGGGGTTACTACTCTGTGTGAGTGTGAGTGTGTGTGTGAGTGAGTGTGTGTGTGAGTGTGAGTGTGAGTGTGAGTGTGTGAGTGAGTGTGTGAGTGAGTGTGAGTGTGAGTGTGAGTGTGAGTGTGAGTGTGTGAGTGAGTGTGAGTGTGAGTGTGAGTGTGAGTGTGAGTGTGTGTGGGTACCCGTAGAGCAGCAGCAGCAGTGCTAACACCGGCAGGTTGGCGGACGAGACGTAGGCGTTCTGCTGGAAACACACGAAGATCAGGACGACCAGCGAAGCGGGGACCACGTAGTTACACTGCAGACACACACACACACTGATTATACACTCTGAGACACACACACACACTATGGAAACACACACTGATACACTGCAGAGACACACCATGTCCCAGGTGAAGGTGGCCGTCCAGTACAGCAGGGGCTGCACTCCACTGATGAACTGCATGTGCTTGGCCTTGTTGACTCTCTCGTGGATCAGAAACACCACGAAGCTCGCCGGCACGAAGGACATGGCGAAGATCACACAGATGGAGACGAGCACGTCCACTGAGGTGGTGACCCTGAGGAGACAATAATAACAACAATAACAACAACAACAACAACAATAATAGATCACACAGATGGAGACGAGCACGTCCACGGAGGTCGTCACCCTGTTAGATATACTGTATATATAATAAATATAATAATAATAGAAATATATATAATACAATCAATGATGTCGTTATTATAGAAATAAAAATATATCTAAAAATAATAACAACAAAAAAAATGAAAAAAAATAAAATAAAGATAATAAATAATAATAATATTAATCAATACAAATATATACAAAATAATATTACTAAGAAATACATTTAAAAGTAATAATAATATATATTTTTTAACGTATCAACAAAATAATACAGAACATTTGTAAAGACGCAGAGATGCACTCACAGAGCCACCTGGCTCAGCTGCTCCTTGGTCAGGTTCAGAGGGTGGTTGAAGGCTCGGATCCCGAACAGCTGAGGGTCTCGACCGGGGGGCAGGTTGGCCCGCAGGATCCCGTTGTTCATCACGTTGATGAACGCCCCGATGCTGTGCCAGCCCTTATTATTGAACCAGATCTAAGAGAAGACAAGAAGAGCTTTATTGATCCCAATGCAGCAGCAAAAAGAGACCAGGCATAGCACAATAGAGAAAACAAACGATCCACAATGTAAACATCTCAAATAGAACAGCATTACAAAAGTAGAACATATGAGGACACAGACATCTGTTAGTACTCATTATTACAAATACAAGTCACAATAATAAACAATAACAACGATACCTTGACGTTGTTCTTGGTGTCGAGGCCGTTGATGAACCCTGACAGACTGTCGAGGAAACGGTCCGCCGCCGCGCCCTGAAACATCACAAACATGTTATATTGTTTGTTTATTTATTTTAAGGTATCTATCTAAAGACAAAATATATTTATCTAATTATTATTCAATGTTATGTTTTTAATAAATAACGTCCGTTTGGAATATAGATGTATTTATCTTCATGAATCCATTTATTTTATTTCACCTTCTGTAACTCAAAGATCTTGCGGACCCTCTCGATGGCATCGTCGACCTCATTGGCCGGGGGGAGGACCTGCGTGCTCCTGGCGCCCAATGAGAAGCCTCCGTACCTGCAGAGAGGAAAACACACCTCAGCAAATGATTTTCAGTAGGGATGCTCCGATCGCCAATTCTGGGGCCGATCCGTGTGTGTGCGTGTGCGTGTGTGTGCGTGTGTGTGTGTGTGCGTGTGTGTGCGTGTGTGTGTGTGTGTGTGTGTGTGTGTGTGTGTGTGTGTGTGTGTGTGTGCATGCGTGCGTGCGTGCGTGCGTGCGTGCGTGCGTGCGTGCGTGCGTGTGTGTGATCAGGTCTCTCTCTCTCTCTCTTAGGTCTAACTCTAAGTGTGTTAGGTCTAACTTTAAGTGTGTTAGGTCTAACTTTAAGTGTGTTAGGTCTAACTTTAAGTGTGTTAGGTTAGGTCTAACTCTAAGTGTGTTAGGTCTAAGTATGTTAGGTCTAACTTTAAGTGTGTTAGGTCTAACTCTAAGTGTGTTAGGTCTAACTCTAAGTGTGTTAGGTCTAACTCTAAGTGTGTTAGGTTAGGTCTAACTCTAAGTGTGTTAGGTCTAACTCTAAGTGTGTTAGGTCTAACTCTAAGTGTGTTAGGTCTAACTCTTAGTGTGTTAGGTCTAACTCTTAGTGTGTTAGGTCTAACTCTTAGTGTGTTAGGTCTAACTCTTAGTGTGTTAGGTCTAACTTTAAGTGTGTTAGGTCTAACTCTTAGTGTGTTAGGTCTAACTTTAAGTGTGTTAGGTCTAACTCAAATGTGTTAGGTCTAACTCTAAGTGTGTTAGGTCTAACTCTTAGTGTGTGTGTTAGGTCTAACTTTAAGTGTGTTAGGTCTAACTCTTAGTGTGTTAGGTCTAACTCTTAGTGTGTGTGTTAGGTCTAACTCTAAGTGTGTTAGGTCTAACTCTTAGTGTGTGTGTTAGGTCTAACTTTAAGTGTGTTAGGTCTAACTCTTAGTGTGTTAGGTCTAACTCTTAGTGTGTGTGTTAGGTCTAACTCTAAGTGTGTTAGGTCTAACTTTAAGTGTGTTAGGTCTAACTTTAAGTGTGTTAGGTCTAACTCAAATGTGTTAGGTCTAACTCTAAGTGTGTTAGGTCTAACTCTTAGTGTGTGTGTTAGGTCTAACTTTAAGTGTGTTAGGTCTAACTCTTAGTGTGTTAGGTCTAACTCTTAGTGTGTGTGTTAGGTCTAACTCTAAGTGTGTTAGGTCTAACTTTAAGTGTGTTAGGTCTAACTCTAAGTGTGTTAGGTCTAACTTTAAATGTGTTAGGTCTAACTCTAAGTGTGTTAGGTCTAACTTTAAGTGTGTTAGGTCTAACTTTAAGTGTGTTAGGTCTAACTCTAAGTGTGTTAGGTCTAACTTTAAGTGTGTTAGGTCTAACTTTAAGTGTGTTAGGTCTAACTCTAAGTGTGTTAGGTCTAACTTTAAGTGTGTTAGGTCTAACTCTAAGTGTGTTAGGTCTAACTTTAAGTGTGTTAGGTCTAACTCTAAGTGTGTTAGGTCTAACTTTAAGTGTGTTAGGTCTAACTCTAAGTGTGTTAGGTCTAACTTTAAGTGTGTTAGGTCTAACTCTAAGTGTGTTAGGTCTAACTTTAAGTGTGTTAGGTCTAACTTTAAGTGTGTTAGGTCTAACTCTAAGTGTGTTAGGTCTAACTTTTAGTGTGTTAGGTCTAACTTTAAGTGTGTTAGGTCTAACTCTTAGTGTGTTAGGTCTAACTCTTAGTGTGTGTGTTGCTCCGCTCACCGGTCCGTCACAGCGGGCGGAGCTGCAGGAGTTCTGCTTCACACACGTTGCATACCGCTATTTTACTGTCATTTTCGGACACCTTAAAATACTGCCAGACCGGTGAAGCCATTTTGGCGAGCTTGTTTTGCCGCACAGAGAAAAGTGTCATGTATTTTACGTCATGTGATCGGCTCTCCTGATCGGCCTTTATAGAGAGCACCGATCGATCGGCAGAGAGTGAGTATCGGCCGATATCGATCGGAAAAGAAACACATTTTTTTAAACTCACCGGAATTCATTCACCCAAACTTTGTTCTTCAAACTGTAAAAACACACAAACACACACAGTTAGTCTCAGAGTATACTGTGTATTATATATACTGTATATATAAATGTGTGTCTCACCTCTTGCCGATGATCTGAGCGTAGGTCTTGACGAGGTAGTCGGAGATGTTTCTGCCCGTCAGATTCTGCAGGGAGTCGGTGGCGCTCAACATCATCTGCACAACAGATCGTACACAAAACATTCATAAATATATAAACATAGAAATATATTTGAACATCACTTAACTACTACTCTGTTTGTTTGTTTGAGTGGTGATGCAATATTATTTGATTACAACCATCTTTCATAAACTTTGTTGTTTTTTTAATTACAGTAATGTTTGTATAATCAGTGTTTCATTTATATACTTTATATATGTTCATTATTATTGTTATTGTTTTATTTTAGTATAATTTTTTTGGAGGAAGTGAAATGTTGAATGTAGTGTATTTAAACCACCACTATATATTTAATAACTCTGTTGTGTGGAATGCAGGTCTGATGGTGTGTTCAGGTGCTGTGTGGTACGTTCAGGTGTCGGGATGGTGCATTCAGGTGTCTGTATGATGCGTTCAGGTGTCAGGATGGTGTGTTCAGGTGCTGTAAGGTGTGTTCAGGTGTCAGGATGGTGCGTTCAGGTGTCTGTATGATGCGTTCAGGTGTCAGGATGGTGTGTTCAGGGTGTCAGGATGGTGCGTTCAGGTGCTGTAAGGTGTGTTCAGGTGTCAGGATGGTGTGTTCAGGAGTCAGGATGGTGTGTTCAGGTGCTGTAAGGTCTGTTCAGGTGTCAGGATAGTGCGTTCAGGTGTCAGGATGGTGCGTTCAGGTACCTCCGGGGGGGGCAGACCTCCGGCCCCAGCAGGACAGTCCGGCAGCATCTTCTTCTTCCCCTCGCAGCTGCAGAAGCAGGCGGGGGACGGGTTATCCATCGTCCAATTAGAGGACAGGAAGAGCTGCTGGACGCTTTCAGGGACATCCGGGAAGTTCCAGTCCTCATCACCCATCGTACAGGGAGCCTCTCTGAGGACAGAAAACATAAATCAGAAAGTTGTCTGAAAGAGCAACATCAGTGAGTTTAGATGCTGTCCACCGTTGTTGCTTTAGTAAGGAAGAATGAAATGTCCTCTTACGGGATGGGATGTCCGTCCATGCAGCGAGTCCCGAGGCCCGGAGCGTCCATCAGAGACCCCAACAACCTCTGCATGTTAGCATCTCCAGGAGCATCGTCACTACACACACACAGTCAGCCTCAGTGTGTTACAGGTGTGTGTTACAGGTGTGTGTTACAGGTGTGTGTTACAGGTGTGTGTTGCAGGTGTGTGTTGCAGGTGTGTGTTACAGGTGTGTGTTACAGGTGTGTGTTACAGGTGTGTGTTGCAGGTGTGTGTTACAGGTGTGTGTTGCAGGTGTGTGTTGCAGGTGTGTGTTGCAGGTGTGTGTTGCAGGTGTGTGTTGCAGGTGTGTGTTACAGGTGTGTGTTGCAGGTGTGTGTTGCAGGTGTGTGTTGCAGGTGTGTGTTGCAGGTGTGTGTTACAGGTGTGTGTTGCAGGTGTGTGTTACAGGTGTGTGTTGCAGGTGTGTGTTGCAGGTGTTATATATAAAGGTGTGTACCTGATGAAGGTCACCTGGTCCTCGTACATCCAGGGCTGCAGCTCCAGACTCGGGTAAACCCCGAAGGGCGGGACGATGAGACTGAAGACCAGAGCGATGCACACAAACACTGCCGGGAGCACGATCTGAAACAAACAAACAAACAAATATATATACACACAACAAATAGTCTTTGTCTCTGTTGTGGAATGTGTGGGGTCTACCAGGGGCCATGATAGTTGTAAATGTGTATTATACAGTAACAGTAGCGTTTATATTCCCCCTGTGTGAGCAGATGTTAACTGTGTGAGACACAGTGGCGAACCGTGTCTATCACAACTGGACCTTCTGTAGACACACACCCCCCCCCCCCCCCCGGCGATATAATGTCCGTCTTTTCACTGAATTGTTGTCTTGAAAAGGGTACTCACAACAATTCCGCAACAACTTCATCTTCACCTGTTGCACTTGCCATTTCAACGTTAAAAACAATAAAACGGCATGAATTGCTTCGTCGCATTCATCTAGATCCTCTGTCTCTATCTCGAGCCAGTGAACTAGCGGGCCTTCTAGAGCACCTGGAACCGAGGGAAACTCTGAAAGAATACGCCCATTGGCTACAAATCAATATATGATTGGTAGATCAAACTGTCAGTCCAAATGTACGCTCTCATTCAGTGCAACGGCCAGGGTATTCTATCAAGGATGTAGAATACATTGGTTGAAGGATATTCTACCCAGAGACCCAGAAAGATATCTGATTGGTTGCTTTCTTTTCTAACACCAAACCACTGAAATGCGTAGTGCATGGTCCGAGAAGGAGAAACAAATCAACGTAACTTTTATTTATATAATTAAATCGATTTTTTGTTTGTTTTATCTGAGTGTTTCAAGGTATTCTCTGAATACCTTGAAGGCCCTGACGGTTCGCCACTGGTAGGACATTACCTGAGCGAAGAAGCCCTTCCTGGAGCGGCGGGCGTACAGGAAACGTTTCCACATCAGAGCCACAAACTGCTGCCTCAGCAGAGCCCAGCCGGAGACCTGATACGAGCCTTTCCCATTGGAGAGGGTCAGCCCCTCCGTCTCCTTGCTCTCTGAGGGGACACATTATCAGGGGGGGGGCACATTATCAGGACTGGCGTTAAATGAGTATATAGTTTAATAACGTGTTTCTTAGAGCAGTGGTTCCCAACCTTCTTGTTATTTAAAGACATCAAAGGAGCAGCTTTTAATCGTGTTTATGATATAAAACATTAAAGTTAATAAAGTTGTTTACCGTGTTCTCCGTCAGACTCGTTGATGTCGTCGTCAATGAGCGGCTTCAGACAGCTCTGATGGTCGCTGCCTCCGAACGCATGAGCCCTCCTGCGGCGCCGCACAGGGAACCTGCCGTCTACACACACACACACACACACACACACACACACACACACACACACACACACACACACACACACACACACACACACACACACACACACACACACACACACACACACACACACACACACACACACACACCACACACACACACACACACACACACACACACACACACACACACACACACACACACACACACACACAGTGTTGACTGGATTTCAGACTATTATTTTGAAGGGCAGAGGTCAGAGGTCAGTCTTACCTGAGGGCACTTCAGTGTCGACTCCGTTATCTTCAGCCACTTTGAGGAAAATCTACAAAGACAAAGAAAGTAAAGTCATTTAATGTTTCCAACCATTCAGTCTCTACCTTCATCATTTTATTATTATTATGAGTCGGTACAAAATAAGTTACAATAAAGATTATTCAAAAAGTTTACTCGATTTTATAGTGGGGGGAGTTCTTGTGGGGAGTTGTTGTGGGGAGTTGTTGTGGGGAGTTGTTGTGGGGAGTTGTTGGGGGGAGTTTGTTGGGGGAGTTGTTGGGGGGAGTTGTTGTGGGCCTTTGTTGTTGGGAGTTGTGTGGAGTTTGTTGGGGTATTTTTTTGGGGGGAGTTGTTGGGGGCGTGTTGTGGGGCGTATGTTTGTGTGCGGTTGTGTTTTGTGGGGCGTTGTTGGGGCGTTGTTGGGAAGGGCGTTGTGGGGGGCGTTTGTTGTGGGGCGTTGTTTGGGGGCGATTGGTTTGGGGGAGTTGTTTGGGGAGTTGTTGGGGGAGTTGTTGGGGGAGTTGTTGGGGGGAGTTGTTGGGGGGGAGTTGTTGGGGGGAGTTGTTGGGGGGGAGTTGTTGGGGGAGTTGTTGGGGGAGTTGTTGGGGGGAGTTGTTGTGGGGGTTGTTGGGGGGAGTTGTTGTGGGGAGTTGTTGGGGGAGTTGTTGGGGAGTTGTTGGGGGGAGTTGTTGGGGGGGGTTGTTGTGGGTTTTGTGTGGGGGGAGTTGTTGTGGGGAGTTGTTGTGGGGTTGTTGGGGGTTGTTGGGGGGGTGTTGGGGGAGTTGTTGGGGGGGGGGGGGAGTCGTTGTGGGGAGTTGTTGTGGGAGTTGTGGGGAGTTGTTGTGGGGAGTTGTTGGGGGGAGTTGTTGGGGGGAGTTGTTGGGGGGTTGTTGGGGGAGTTTGTTTGGGGGTTGTTGTGGGGAGTTGTTGGGGGGGAGTTGTTGGGGTTGTTGGGGGAGTTGTTGGGGGGTTGTTGGGGGTTGTTGTTGGGGGTTGTTGTGGGGAGTTGTTGGGGGGAGTTGTTGGGGGAAGTAAACAAGGTATATTGTTAAAGGGATCGTTACCTCCTCCAGCGTTGTGTCCGACACACCGTAGCTGGAGATGCCGAGTTCGGCCAGCTTCTGGTCCAGGTCGCTGAATAGCTCCGCGAAGGCCCCGTCCTTGGCCGCGCTGTACGGCAGGACGTAGGTCAGCTCGTGGCCCAGATCTTCCACCAAGCGAGCCGCCGGGACGTGACCCTGGATCAGCCCGGAGACCTGGATGACATCGGGCAAGGGGGCGGCGCTCTCTGAGGGGGGGAGGAGACACGTCAGAGCTGCTGCAGACGAACGAATCAAACGCTCCACAGGAACAGAACGAATCAAACGCTCCACAGAAACAGAACGAATCGAATGCTCCACAGAAACAGAACTAATCGAATGCTCCACAGGAACAGAGGACTCACCAATAGTCGCCACCTCACTCTCATGTTCGCTGCCGAGGCCGGCGTCACTGCTGCTGATGGAGGAGCACTCCCCCTCCTGAAACACACAGGAATACTGCCTTAAACACTGTGTGTGTGTGTGTGTGTTTGTGTGTGTGTGTGTGTGTGTACTTTGTTCTGATTATCAGATGTCCTCTGCTCCTTGACCTCGAGAGAAAACATGATCAGGTCAAGGAAACACGAAGGAGAGTTCGTCAGGTTTTAGATAAATAAATATATTTATTACACGGCCTAGTTGAATACTCAATCCTGATTGGTGGTGTACCTTCTCTCTGAGCGAGGTGCTGCTGGAGGACTTCCTGCTGACGGAGGTCCTGCCCGCCCCTTCCCTCTTCACCAGGGTCAGGTAGTATCCGGTCCCCAGCTGGTTCTTCAGGTAGAGCGAGGAGCCCACGCAGCACAGTTTCCCGTGGGAGATGATGGCGATCCGGTCCCCCAGGATGTCCGCCTCGTCCATGTGGTGCGTGGACAGGATGATGGTGCGCCCTGAGGGTGGGGACAGGAAGTTAGACCACGAGACAGACCAAGAGTAGGAAGTGAGCTGGCAGTTAAAGCAAATCCTAGAGGGCGCCATATGTGGATTACTACTTCCTGTCATGTGGTGCTACAGGGCCCACAATTACTTATATTAGCCGTGTACCTGCAGCGTTTGGTTTCTGCAGCTTTTAGTAAACGCTGCCATGTCTCCTCAAACTGCTGAATGTTCTCTAAATGCTGCACGTGTTGTTGCTGAAGAAGTTTCTTCATGTGGAACATATGGGTTTTTATATCTGCATCCTTTCTGAAGCTGAAGTTTCTCCTGACTGAGGAGACTTGCACCTGTCGGCCACCGTAACCAGCGGGGTAAATGCTAGCCAATAGCAGCACGACTGTTCCATAGTTATGTCACTATAGGTACGGGGAGGACACAATACAATCTGAAAGCAGATGAACATGTATACAATATAGATTGTAGAGACAAAGACCCCCTGTCTCACCCTGCCGGTACTGCAGCAGCAGGTCCCAGATCCCCCTCCGGGCGTACGGGTCCACGCCGGCCGTGGGCTCGTCCAGGATCACCACCTTGGACCCCCCCACGAAGGCCAGGGCCACGGACAGCTTCCTCTGCATGCCCCCCGACAGAGCGCTGGTCCGGGACTTGCGTTTGTGAGGAAGACCCGTGTCCTGCAGGATCTGCTCCACCTCCGCCTGGACCTGCTGCTCAGAGAGACCCTTCAGACGCCCGTAGAACCAGATGTGCTCCTCCACCGTCAGCCTGGGGGGGGGGGTGGGGGAGACAAGAGGGGGGAAAAAGTGAGACAGGAAGAGACAAAGTGAGACAACGTGAGATAGGAAGAGACAGGAAGAGACACACTGACATCCAGGCATGGTTTGGAGGACTCACATGCTGAAGAGGACGTTGTGTTGAGGACAGACACCAAGACTCTGCCGGATGGTGCTCAGTTCGGTCCGGATGTCTCGCCCCAGGATGTAGGCCGTCCCCTGAGGTAGGGGGGAACAGACCTGTGAGGATGGACCTGAGGACGAGAGGGGGACATATTAATAGAAACTCTCATCTCAAAGATCGCAGCTACAGGGTAACTGGTGGAGGATCTGTGTCTAAACCCTGTCCACTCCTCTCCGGCGTCCCACAGGGCTCTGTCCTGGGTCTACTCCTCTTTTCTCTGGACACTTTTGGCTGTCTTATCTACTTTCATTGCTTCTCCTATCACAGCATTCTGTCTTTTGCCCGGATCTGAAACCCAGGTGGTTGCATGCATCGTGACATCTGGATGTCTGCTCACCACCTGGAGCTCAACCTAAACAAGGTGGTGGTCTCTAGTCTTTACTCACATGGTGGTGGTCTCTAGTCTTTACTCACATGGTGGTGGTCTCTAGTCTCTAGTCTTTACTCACATGGTGGTGGTCTCTAGTCTCTAGTCTTTACTCACATGGTGGTGGTCTCTAGTCTTTACTCACATGGTGGTGGTCTCTAGTCTCTAGTCTTTACTCACATGGTGGTGGTCTCTAGTCTGTACTCACATGGTGGTGGTCTCTAGTCTCTAGTCTTTACTCACATGGTGGTGGTCTCTAGTCTCTAGTCTTTACTCACATGGTGGTGGTCTCTAGTCTCTAGTCTTTACTCACATGGTGGTGGTCTCTAGTCTTTACCCACATGGTGGTGGTCTCTAGTCTTTACTCACATGGTGGTGGTCTCTAGTCTCTAGTCTTTACTCACATGGTGGTGGTCTCTAGTCTCTCGTCTTTACTCACATGGTGGTGGTCTCTAGTCTTTACTCACATGGTGGTGGTCTCTAGTCTTTACTCACATGGTGGTGGTCTCTAGTCTCTAGTCTTTACTCACATGGTGGTGGTCTCTAGTCTTTACTCACATGGTGGTGGTCTCTAGTCTTTACTCACATGGTGGTGGTCTCTAGTCTCTAGTCTTTACTCACATGGTGGTGGTCTCTAGTCTTTACTCACATGGTGGTGGTCTCTAGTCTCTAGTCTTTACTCACATGGTGGTGGTCTTGCCGGCCCTGTTGTGTCCCAGGAAGGAGGTGATCTGTCTCTAGTCTCTACTCACATAGTGGTGGTCTTGCCGGCCCCGTTGTGTCCCAGGAAGGAGGTGATCTGTCCCTCGTAGAACCCCAGCGTCAGTCCGTCCACCGCCAGCTTCTTTCCGTGGGGGTAAACCTTCACCAGGTTCTCGATGTAGACGCCGAGCTCCAGGTGAGCCGGTTCCTCCTCCATACACACCACTGGGAACAGGAAGTCTCTTTCACAATAAGAGTCTCTTTCACAGTAAGAGTCAAAGGAAGTTTCTTTCACAGTAAGAGTCACAGGAGGTCTCTTTCACAGTAAGAGTCACAGGAGGTCTCTTTCACACTAATGGCGCGTTTCCACTACAGCGCGAAGCCCCGTTTAAGAGAGCTGTGACGTCAGCGGCCCGTCTTTAGTTGCGTTTCCACTTGGCCTAGTACCGGCTAGCGGGTCCTAATTCACAGTTTTTCTGGCCCCATAAAATCGTGATTCTAGGGCCAGGAACAACCAGGCTGAGTCGGGCTGAGTATGCTAAACTAGAGAGAGAATCGCTGGCAAGGGGGCTACAACTACAACAAGATGAACATATTTGACCGTGATTTAATTGTAATACACGTTTCAAAATGATGCCGAAGTAACAACATACTGATACCGGTTAGTAAAAACCATGAATTAATGCTTTGACAAGTCTGCAGACAGACGGCAGGGCGAAACACCTTTTAAAATGCGTGTTTTCTAAATGGAGATTGGCTAAGCTAACACAATATATGCTCCGACCGTCCACACTCACAACAACGGCCTATACAGACATAAATAAACCAGCGACTGTATTCACCATGACACAGACAGTCTATGGTTTGTACTTGTTTAACTTTTGTCTAGTTTCTGAACAGATATGAGGAGCTGTGAGCTCTGAGTGCTAACAGCTAATGGCTGTGTTGTTTTTCTGGGGTTCTCATTGAAGATGACGTCACGGCTCTGCCTACACTGCATTACTATAGAAACTACCCCAGTTCCTAAACTGTAATGGAAATGCGCCATAAAGTGAGCCAGTCCTAACGAGGTCTAGCCATACCGAGCGAGGCCGAGCGAGGCCGTGTAGTGGAAATGCGCCATTAGTGTGTGTTTTGCTCACCGGTCCGTCACAGCGGGTGGAGCTGCAGGAGTTCTGCTATTTTACTGTCATTTTCAGACACCTTAAAATACTGCTAGACTGGTGAAGCCATTTTGGCGAGCTTGTTTTGCCGCACACAGAGAAAAGTGTCATGTATTTTACGTCATGTGATCGGCTCTCGCGATCGGCATTTTTAAGAGAGGACCGATCGATCGGCCGAGAGTGAGTATCGGCCGCAGCCGATCGATCGGAGCATCCCTAACTTACATGATGCCGAATTTAACAAACACATTTATAATAATAATAAGAGTCACAGGAAGTCACTTTCACACTTAAAGTCACAGGAAGTCTCCTTCACAATAAAAGTGACAGGAAGTCTCTTTCACAATAAAAGTCTCTTTCACAGTAAGAGTCACAGGAAGTCTCTTTCACAATAAAAGCCTCACCTTCTGGGTTTGCCTTCTGGCTCAGGTGGACCTTGGACCTGACGTAGGGCTCCCCCCACCAGTAGGACTTGGTGAAGAGGAAGAACCAGGGCCGAGGGATCCCGTACTGACCTGAGACACAGACAGATATTACTCATAGTCCCATAGTGCTTTGTGTTCCTGTAGTTCAGCTCATTCAGCGTCTCCTGAGGATGTTTCTACGTCTCCCTGTTAGTTTAGAATAATAACATGTAATCCCATGATGTCTGTTACAGCCCGTGACATCACAGAGCCCACCCACTAGGTTTAAAACCTGTACAGGTGAAGGTCACAGGTGAAGGTCACTGGTGAAGGTCACTGGTGAAGGTCACTGGTGAAGGTCACTGGTGAAGGTCACTGGTTTCCTCCAAAGAGAGTCACATTCTCATTCACTATCCAATAAGAAAGAGGGCTGAAGCAAAGAGAGGCACGTCCTTCTTCTTAGAGATATCCCAAACCTTTTTCTGATGGGCTTTTCATCTTTTATGGACTAACTTTACTTCAAGATCACATGACAAGAAAAATCACAGGTCAGGTTTAAGAATAATGTTGAGTCTCTTCAGCCGAACGCTTCGACCCAAAAAAGAAAAACACGATAAAGCAAAAATCAAGATTTAAAACGATTGTGCAGAATATATTTAATCGATGGATGAATCCGAAAATAAAACGTTCTAGTGTGAGAATCGCTAACACGTGATACGCTCGTCACTTTTTAAAATTGCCTATACTCATTTTCAGCCATGGTTGTGTACTCATGGCTGTGTACTCATGGTTGTGTACTCGTGGCTGTGTATTCATGGCTGTGTACTCATGGCTGTGTACTCATGGTTGTGTACTCGTGGCTGTGTATTCATGGTTGTGTACTCGTGGCTGTGTATTCATGGCTGTGTATTCATGGCTGTGTACTCATGGTTGTGTACTCATGGTTGTGTATTCATGGTTGTGTACTCATGGCTGTGTACTCATGGTTTTTACTCGCGGTTGTGTACTCATGGCTGTGTACTCATGGTTGTGTACTCATGGCTGTGTACTCATGGTTGTGTACTCATGGTTGTGTACTCATGGCTGTGTACTCATGGTTGTGTACTCATGGTTGTGTACTCATGGTTGTGTACTCATGGCTGTGTACTCATGGTTGTGTACTCATGGTTGTGTACTCATGGCTGTGTACTCATGGTTGTGTACTCATGGTTGTGTACTCATGGTTGTGTACTCATGGCTGTGTACTCATGGTTGTGTACTCATGGTTGTGTACTCATGGCTGTGTACTCATGGCTGTGTACTCATGGTTGTGTACTCATGGTTGTGTATTTTATTACTTATGAGTTAGCTTAGTCTTTGTTACCCTGCTGTGCCACTTCAGCTGTAACACTGGTTCCCCGCTGTGGGATTCAGATTCAAAGTCCTCTCACCTGGGAACACGGACTCAATGTACCAGGTGAGCAGGCCGTACAGGAAGGAGTCCACGTACATCATGATGATGGCGGTGCGCAGGCTGTAGTCGTCCTCCTCCAGGGGGCTGGACACCAGGTTGCTCCACTGGATGCCCACGCCCTGCTCCTCGAACAAGGCGAAGTATTCACAGCCGAACCCGAACGCCACGGGGGAAAGGAGGCTCTGCGGGATCACATGTATTCATCACAACACAAACAGTATTTCACTGTACAGGATCTAATCTTACATTCTGTTGTTGTTTATCTTATTATATTTACATGGATATAGAATGTTGCATTCACTGCAACATTAGCTAATTTATCTGACATGTATATAGTTCACCTCTCTTGCATTAATGCACATTGTTAATGATCATTTGTAATTCAACATGTATATTTTCTACTTTTTTTCTTTTGATGCTATTTTCTTTCTATTTAGATGTTTACATTTTGGATTGTTTATTTCTTATCTTATCTTATGGTCCTACAAGATTAATGTTCAGTAATATAATCTTTAAATTAGTTTATAGTTTTAGGTCTTATATACATCATTCAATACGATGGCTGGTGGGAGAAGTTCTTACCGCGAAGACTTTGGCCCCGTAGCCGATGTAGTCCTGCCAGGCGACGCAGAGCACGTAGGGCAGGTAGAGCGTGAAGTAGATGATGCCGCCGCACGCCGCCGCCAGGTTAGCGCGGTTGAACGCCGTGCTGAGCAGGAAGCACTGCATGATGGTCACTACCGCGAAGGATCCCATGAACAGGAAGACCACGCCGGGGTCGCTGTAGGGCAGCAGGTTCCCCGTCTGCAAGGAGGACAAGGAACCTGGTTAATGTTTGTAGGGTTACAACAGCTAACGGCTAACTGCTAACGGCTAACAGCTAGGTCTTTAGATGAAAATAAGGAGCCCCTCCCCACGCCCCTCTGAGAGACATTTGGTTAAAAAGAACTCAATGGTGCTCTAGGAGGAGATTCAGGTGATAAGGGGGGGGGGGGGGGGGGCAGGGGGGGGGGGGGTTACCTTGGTTGCTGATTGGCTAATGGTTACACAAGACAAAACATCGTTATGACATCATCAAGTGGCCAAAATCTGATCAGCTCATTTTCAGACAGGTTTTTATAAAAATGGATCAAAAAGAGAGAGAATCTTTGTTCCTGAAACTTTCAGAGTCTCTTTCCACAGAGGGGACACATGTTGATGTAGAAGAGACATGAAGAAGAGGGGACACATGTTGATGTAGAAGAGACATGAAGAAGAGGGGACACATGTTGATGTAGAAGAGACATGAAGAAGAGGGGACACATGTTGATGTAGAAGAGACATGAAGAAGAGGGGACACATGTTGATGTAGAAGAGACATGAAGAAGAGGGGACACATGTTGATGTAGAAGAGACATGAAGAAGAGGGGACACATGTTGATGTAGAAGAGACATGAAGAAGGGGATTTTCATAATAGGTGACCATGTGGAGTTCTGACCTTGAGCAGCAGCACCAGCAGCCCGGCGCTGACCAGCAGGGGCACCAGGCTGCTGAGGAACCAGCTGAACCACAGGATGCCGTTGTTCAGGCCCATGATCCTCATGGTCTCCTTCAGACGAGCCTCCTTCTCGTACACGATGCTCTTCAGGATGATGGCCACCGAGTACATCCAGGCCAGAGTCATGAAGAGAGGCATGGAGCGGCTCATCACCCGCAGGAAGCTGGAAGACAGAAATACACAAAGACAACAGGACAGGAGGAGGAGACACCAGGACACAAAGACACCCGGACACCAGGACAGAAAGACACCAGGACACAAAGACACCCGGACACAGGACAACAGGACAGAAAGACACCCAGACACAAAGACACCCGGACACAGAACACCAGGACAGAAAGACACCAGGACACAAAGACACCCGGACACAGGACACCAGGACAGAAAGACACCAGGACACAGGACAGAAAGACACCAGGACACAAAGACACCAGGACAGAAAGACACCAGGACACAAAGACACCCGGACACAGAGACACCAGGACAGAAAGACACCCGGACACAGGACACCAGGACAGAAAGACACCAGGACACAAAGACACCCGGACAGAAAGGACACCAGGACAGAAAGACACCCGGACACAGGACAGAAAGACACCAGGACAGAAAGACACCAGGACACAAAGACACAAGGACACAAAGACACCAGGACACAAAGACACCCGGACACAGGACACCAGAATACAAAGACACAAGGACACAAAGACACCAGGACATGTTAGGCAGGTGTATTACCGCAGCAGCTCTCAACACAAGGCAACTCAAAGTGATTTACAAAATGAAAAACCTTAAAAGCCTTTAGAAAAAAACAAAGACTATGTTGTACAAGCAGACTGATGAGCAATATGTTTCATTGTTATCACTACCAGTGTTAGGGGAGTTACTCAAGAAAAGTCATGCATTACTTTACTAAATGACTCACTGTTCAAAGTCACTAGTTACATTACTTTAGGATTACTCTGTAACATCACCAGATGCACCACAAATCAAATGGGAAATAACAATATATTATTACATTACATGTTACTTGTTAGACGCTTTTATCCAAAGCAACTAACTTACTCAACACTGTGGACAATCCCCACAGGAGCACTTTGGGGTGAAGTGTCTCAGGGACACAACGACATGCTGACTGCAGTGGGGTTTGAACCTGTGACCCCCTGATCCCAACACCAACACACAACCCACTGCACCACACGCCTCCCCCTATATAGTTTAACCTCATGTCCAGATCAGTACAAATCCTTAATCTAAAGGACAACTATTTCCCTGTTGTTTGAACATGTGGTTCTCTTCAGCTCAGTTTCAGCTCCAGGTGAAAGAGTTCCTGTCTGATGGCCGCCGCCCGTTACCTATTTCTTGCTCAACATGTTTTGGGAAAGACTGCGATTCCACCGGGGAAACCATGGAAGTAATAATGAAACGGGCGACATTTCCTCCACGATGTTTGCCTCGCCTGTTTCTCTCTGCTACGAGACTGCTGCGTCTCCTCATCCATGAACTCTGAGTGCAGCGCCAGAGAAAAGAGGCGTTTATTGTTCTGTCCTCCCGTTATTCAGATGAAAGTAACGAGTGCCATCCTATCAGCTTAGTAAGTGTAATGTGATTACTGCTGAACCAACAACGCATTACACACAACTGTAATCTGATTACTGTAACACGTTACGTTGTGCGTTACCCCAACACTGCCCTTAATATTGTTCCCTCTCCCTTTAACAGCGTGACTGTGTCGTGCGGGGTTTCCTCACATGTCGTCCACGTAGCAGGGGTAGGGCATCTGCTGGATGTAGACGCCGGTCTTCTCCTTGGTGCCGGTCAGCGTTCGGACGATGGCCTGCTCGATGACGTCCTGCAGGTACGTGAAGCCGCCCCAGATGTACCGCATGTCCTCGAAGGGGTCTGCACGGGGGCCGGGGTCCCAGTACCTGAAGGCATCACGAGGAACGCAAACAGTCATGATAAAGTATCATTAAAGATCAATATATCACAGGTCTCAGATATATCCAGAGCCTGTCTCTGATTGGCTGAAACACCAAACAGATCATTGCAGCATTACCCATAATCCCCTCTGTTTCAGCCCTGTTTCCAAAGTGCTGATTCTCTGTCTGTTACTTTAGATGAAAATAAGGAGCCCCTCCCCACGCCCCTCTGACAGAGATTTGGTTAAAAAGAACTCAATGGTGCTCTAGGAGGACATTCAGGTGACAAGGGGGGGGGGGGAATGGGTTTATATAAATGGATCAGGACAAAAAGAGAGAGAATCTTTGTTCCTGAAACTTTCAGAGTCTCTTTCCACAGAGGGGACACATGTTGATGTAGAAGAGACATGTGTCCCCTCTGTGTGAAGAGAGAGTCTCTTTCCACAGAGGGGACACGTGGTGATGTAGAAGAGACATGTGTATATAATGATGTACAGATTAACAAATATAATTTAAGTTGGTGTACTTTAATCGGCCAAAGTAAACTGTTTACAATATGTCCAGAACTCTGCCGCCAGGCTTTTCACCCGCACTAAGCCATGGCAACACATCACCCCCACCCTCATCCACCTCCACTGGCTGCCGGTCAAGTCCCGGATTCACTACAAAACACTCCTCCTCACGTACAAGTCCCTCCAAACCCTCGCCCCCCAGTACTTAACAGACCTCCTACATCCCTACACCCCCTCTCGGAGTCTGCGGTCCTCAGACACGGGCCTGCTCTCCATCCCCCGCTCTCGCCTTCGTACTGTGGGTGACAGGGCGTTCAGTGTTGCGGCCCCCACCCTCTGGAATGCACTTCCTCCTGAGATCCGGAACGCTGCCTCACTGGACATCTTCAAATCCTCACTAAAAACACACCTGTTCACCGTGGCCTTCGGACCCTAGTCCTTTCCTGGTCGCCTGGCTTCCTTTATTTATTTTATTTTGTTTTGTTCGCTCCTCATTGTCTGTCCACATGTACAGCGACCTTGGGTCCCGTGAAAGGCGCTTTATAAATTCCATTTATTATTATTATTATTATTACATTATAGGTAAATGAGTGAATTACAGTGTGGAGTAGAATTAAATGGCACTGTTTCAAAACAATATATAAAAATAAGTGAATAAGGGTTATTGAAAAGGAAATCTGGAGCAACTCAAGAACCCTATGACCTTTTGTAACTTCGTTCTGATAACATTTATACATATTATGTAGAATGTGAGACGTCCAAGATGTCTTTATGGAGTCATTTTATTTTGTAAATTACCCAAAAAACATTTGAATATGTAGACATATTCACTTTTAATTTATTCCACCCATTGGCAGTACCTCCGCAGCCCACTAGGTGTCGCTTTGAGGCACAAGAAGAAGGTTGGTCCCCACAACGACTGTAAAGAAACACCTCCAGGGTGTATGAACACTTTTATCAGTGAGTGTGTGTGTGTGTGTGTGTCTGTGTGCGTGTCTCTGTGTGTGTGTCTCTGCGTGTGTCCTCACGCGTCTTTGATCTTGTTGGTCCTCTCCACGTTGTCGATGTCCATGCGGATCTTGTAGCTGATGGAGTCGGGCAGCTCCGTGGCGTTGGGCTCGAGGTCCGGGAACACGATGCCGGCCCAGAACCTGCGGTCCTCCAGAAGAACCATGGAGCGGTCCACCAGCTGCTCCTCCGTGGAGACCGGCTCCAGCTTGTCCAGGTTCACACACTGACGCACGCACACGCACACGCACACACACACACGCACACACACACACACACACACACACACACACACACACACACACACACACACACACACACACACACACACACACACACACACACACACACACACACACACACACACACACACACACACACACACACACACACACACACACACACACACACACACACACACACACACACGTCAGGTCATGTGATCTTTACCCTCCAATCACAGCAGCCCTCATCACATTTATATCAGTTACTCTACGGGCTTTTTTTTGAAAAACAAGCCAAATAAAAAACATCATATAAATACTAACATCATATACTAAATAAAGATAATAAAACAGTGAATATTAAAGGTCCCATGTGTCGGTCATGCTTTTCCGGTTATTACCCGTCCCCTTGTGTTCTGTAGCTTCTGCATGTAAACGGTCTGCAGAGTCACAAACCCTCAAAGTACACCCTGTAGAGAGTAAAACTCTAACACAGAGCAGACCTGTCTATGCTGCCCCTGAACGCCTCGTTGGACATTTCTCTTTTTCTTCCTGGGTACAGTGACGTGCCCATACCCAAATGGACCCATTGGTCCAAATGGACCAATCCGTGGAGCCGTTACGTTACGTCCGCGGAGCCGTTACGTTAAGTCCGCGGATTGGTCCAAATTGACCAATCCGCAGACTTCCTAACAAACACACACACACACACACTCAATATTTTTTCAGCTGCAGCTCCGCCGATTTCTCCTCCCTGAGACGGCGGGACGCGGCGAGGCTGTGAGTCGGTGTGTGAGCACAAACTCCCAGCCAGGCTGCGTGTGTGTGTGTGTTCGGGCTGGGTTTCGCTGTGTCTTGCTGTCTCGCAGACGGCCACTGGGCTCATAGGGAGGGGGGGGCAGGAGCTCCAACAAGGCGTGTAGGACAGAGAGTGAATACACATACTATACAGAGATGCTGTATGAGAAACCAATGTGAGTTTGGAACATTGAACAATGTCAATCTATTCTAGTAGACCTCAACAATGGAACTATGATCAGTAGAAATGGTCATGACATGGGACCTTTAAGATACAAGGCTTTCATTGTCATGTGTACACAGCTACAGTGTAGAAATGTCAATGAAGATCTGAGGCTCCTCCCACAGAGCAACAGATAAACAGATAAAATAGTAAGTAAATAAAATAAAACAGAACAGGTGTTTATAACCTCCATGAAGCGCGAGATGCTCCGGATGGCCTCGTCCGTCTCGTTGAAGATGTTCCTCCAGGTGACCTCTCCGGGGGGTCGGAGGTCAGACGCCTGCTTAGACAGAAAGTCAGAGACGTCCGAGACCGTCCAATCGGTGCCGCTTAGCTGAGCGTGGAAGAGCCGGGCCGTGGCGTTGTTCTTCAGAAGAGTCTGGACAGAAAACACAGTGAGATACTGGGGGGGGGCTGAGACCCTTTGGAGATCTGTCAGTCAGTCAGTCAGTCAAAATGAAGACGCTGACACCATGCTGTAATCTCCTGGATTCACGGATACAGAGTGGATGCGACTGAGTTGGTCCGCCATAAACTATATCTTTAGAAAGGGTGTTGGTTTATGATCACATGTGTGTTTGATAATGTATGAAGTCAACAAGAAGAAACACACACACACACACACACACACACACACACACACACACACACACACACACACACACACACACACACACACACACACACACACACACACACACACACACACACACACACACACACACACACACACACACACACACACACACACACACACACACACACACACACACACACACACACACACACACACACACACACACACACACACACTCTGAGGACAGGGGCCGGCTCTAGACAATTTGCTGCCCTAGGCGAGATTTGAGCTGATATTTATTCGTGCATATTTTTAATCTCTCCAGTTTAAAAGGATATGTCTGGTTACTGTCCTATAGTATACATTGGAATGATTTCAAACCTGTTTATCCCAATAATTATAAAGGAGTGCCTTGGAAATATGTGTTTACATAAATTGTGACCAAAACCGTTTGAGACCCACTGAGATAACTTAGACTAAAGTGAACTATCTAAACACTCAGAGAGTCCTTTACCTCACTGAGCTGTAGTTATCAGCCTCTCAGTCTGACTGCAGAGGACTCTCCCTCCACCTCTCAGAGAGTCCTTCACCTCACTGAGCTGTAGTTATCAGCCTCTCAGTCTGACAGGAGAGGACTCTCCCTCCACATTATTGTAGAAACATCTTCTTCTTATATCCGTTAGCGCAGCTAGCACCAGATTCCAATAACAACAGCGCCGGTACCGGTGCGCCCTCTCTCTCTCCCTCGCTCGCTCCCACGCTCACTCGCCCTTTGGCTGTGAGCTGCGGGCGCCAGATAAGCCAACATCCCACATTTTCATCACTTACAGCGCCCATCGTACAGGGCAAATGAAAAGTGTAACCGGGGTGAAAAGGGTGTTGCATTTACTTAATTATGAATATTGTTACATCAAGGCCGAAAATTAGGATGAGCACCAACGGTCAAATAAAAAGTGTTTCCCTCCCAGAGCTACCAGCGCAGCGCCTCCCCAGATCTGGCGCCCTAGTTGAACATCTATAACGCCAGTGCTACGGGCCGGCCCTGTCTGAGGATGTTTACCCGGATGACGTCCATCTGCTCTCCGTCCTCCATGAAGCGCCACACTTTGGGTCTCATTTCGTCCCACATGCCGCCCAGGTCCCTGAACACACCGAGCTCCTGGAAGGTCCGGTTCACCTGAGACACAAAGAAAACTTTATTTATAACGCTTTCAGAGACAAAAGGGATTATCAACCCAAACACAATTTAAAAACAACACCCCCCCAGGTAATACCAAAACAGCTGATATTTAAGAATATAAAAGCCTCTGTTATTAGTCCACAGTTTGAGGCTCTCCTCAGTTTCCAGTTTCTAATTCAGACTGGAATAGTTTACAGAAACCAGACACCGCTTCACTTCATGTCAAACGTTTAGAAATGCTTCTTATTTTCAGGTGAGTTTTAACCCGTTCAACACTGTGTTTATTGTGTTGCCGGGCAGACGTGTTTGTTTTGGACGTGCAGTGGTTTATTAAAGGTTTCTCGTCTGATGGTCGTGACGTGATTAGATTCTCTATTTCTTAGTTGTATCCCGAATGAATAAACTTCAGTAAACGTACCGCTGACCTTAAATCTGGATAGATGACCTCGTGGATGACCTCTGCCATCAAAACTCTATTTTGTGAAAACTCAATATTTTAGAAAAAAGTTAGAATTTGAATTTTGAGGAAAAAAGTAAGAACTCTAATATTTTGTGAAAAGTCAGATTTTTTTTTAAACTAAACATTTTGAGAAAACTGAAAATTCAGAAATGTTGAGAAAAAAGTCTGAATTTTTAATGATGTGTTTATTGTAGGTGTGTGGCGCAGTGGGTAGGGCGTTGGTGTTCGGATCAGGGGAGCAAAGGTTCAAACCCCACTGCAGTCAGCATGTCGTTGTGTCCCTGAGACACTTCACCTCAAAGTGCTCCTGTGGGGATTGTCCACAGTATTGAGTATGTAAGTCGCTTTGGATAAAAGCGTCTAACAAGTGACGTGTAATGTAATGTAATGTAATGTAATGTAATGTAATTGTGTTGCCGGGCAGATGTGTTTTTTTTGGACGTGCAGTGGTTTATTAAAGGTTTCTCGTTAGTGTTATCCTGAGTGAGTACACTTCAGTAAACTTAGTGACTCAGGAGCACCTCCTGGATGAGGGCCAGGGTTAACTTAGTGACTCAGGAGCACCTCCTGGATGAGGGTCAGGGTTAACTTAGTGACTCAGGAGCACCTCCTGGATGAGGGTCAGGGTTAACTTAGTGACTCAGGAGCACCTCCTGGATGAGGGCCAGGGTTAACTTAGTGACTCAGGAGCATCTCCTGGATGAGGGCCAGGGTTAACTTAGTGACTCAGGAGCACCTCCTGGATGAGGGCTAGGGTTAACTTAGTGACTCAGGAGCAACTCCTGGATGAGGGCTAGGGTTAACTTAGTGACTCAGGAGCACCTCCTGGATGAGGGCCAGGGTTAACTTAGTGACTCAGGAGCACCTCCTGGATGAGGGTCAGGGTTAACTTAGTGACTCAGGAGCACCTCCTGGATGAGGGCTAGGGTTAACTTAGTGACTCAGGAGCACCTCCTGGATGAGGGTCAGGGTTAACTTAGTGACTCAGGAGCACCTCCTGGATGAGGGTCAGGGTTAACTTAGTGACTCAGGAGCACCTCCTGGATGAGGGCCAGGGTTAACTTAGTGACTCAGGAGCACCTCCTGGATGAGGGTCAGGGTTAACTTAGTGACTCAGGAGCACCTCCTGGATGAGGGCCAGGGTTAACTTAGTGACTCAGGAGCACCTCCTGGATGAGGGTCAGGGTTAACTTAGTGACTCAGGAGCACCCCCTGGATGAGGGTCAGGGTTAACTTAGTGACTCAGGAGCACCTCCTGGATGAGGGCCAGGGTTAACTTAGTGACTCAGGAGCACCTCCTGGATGAGGGCCAGGGTTAACTTAGTGACTCAGGAGCACCTCCTGGATGAGGGTCAGGGTTAACTTAGTGACTCGGGAGCACCTCCTGGATGAGGGCCAGGGTTAACTTAGTGACTCAGGAGCACCTCCTGGATGAGGGTCAGGGTTAACTTAGTGACTCAGGAGCACCTCCTGGATGAGGGTCAGGGTTAACTTAGTGACTCAGGAGCACCTCCTGGATGAGGGTCAGGGTTAACTTAGTGACTCAGGAGCACCTCCTGGATGAGGGTCAGGGTTAACTTAGTGACTCAGGAGCACCTCCTGGATGAGGGTCAGGGTTAACTTAGTGACTCAGGAGCACCTCCTGGATGAGGGCCAGGGTTAACTTAGTGACTCAGGAGCACCTCCTGGATGAGGGCTAGGGTTAACTTAGTGACTCAGGAGCACCTCATGGATGAGGGTCAGGGTTAACTTAGTGACTCAGGAGCACCTCCTGGATGAGGGCTAGGGTTAACTTAGTGACTCAGGAGCACCTCGTGGATGAGGGTCAGGGTTAACTTAGTGACTCAGGAGCACCTCGTGGATGAGGGTTAGCGTTAACTTAGTGACTCAGGAGCACCTCCTGGATGAGGGTTAGCGTTAACTTAGTGACTCAGGAGCACCTCGTGGATGAGGGTTAGCGTTAACTTAGTGACTCAGGAGCACCTCCTGGATGAGGGTTAGCGTTAACTTAGTGACTCAGGAGCACCTCGTGGATGAGGGTTAGCGTTAACTTAGTGACTCAGGAGCACCTCGTGGATGACCCTCTGCGTGGCCGGCGTGTCGGGCGTGTACAGGATCTTCCCCATCAGCAGCGGCTTCAGAGCCGTCCAGATCATCCGGGACATCGGGTTGGAGTCCAGACTCTGGACCAGGCTGTTGCAGTACGGCGCTGGAACACACACATCATTAAAACTGTGTTTTAATTCAGAATGAGGAAGGAGTGTTCCGTAGTGTTGTTGCTATAGTGCAGGGGTATTCAATTGCATTTCAAAGAGGTCCAGTCAGAGAACATGTCATGAAATGCTCTGTTTTCGCTGTCTACCTTTCTCTTTTTTGAGCACGCCATTTGAAACGACTCCGACTGTTTCTCTCTTCTTGTCTCGTCTCTGTGTTTGAATCTATCGTGCTGACTCACTGACTGCACCCATTTGGTTGTCTGAGTAGCGTCACCTCCTTAAAACATTAAACAATAACTTTTTAAAACCTTTTTATCTTTATGTTTTAAACATATATTAAAAATAAAAATAAATCCTTATATGCTCCACACACTGAACGTCAACTTGTACTCCTCATTACACTCACCCCTACTTTAGTGGGAACAATGAGTCTGCGTCTTTGATGCACACAGGCACCCTGCGCCTCCCCTGAAGCTCTCTGGCGCCCCCACGGGGAGGTGCGCCTCTCTGATATAGAGAGTATAGAGCAGGCATCCTCAAAGTCCGGACTCCGGTCCGGATCCGGACCGAACCACAACTGTCTCTGGACTCTGAGCAAATTATACTTTTCATATGTATTATCTGTATTATCTGTGTTATCTGCGAGACATCGCCACAACGCAACGAGTCAAAATTCTCCGCTATGTCCGCTGCATACAGCGCTCTGCATGTCCGACTGTTCCACTGTCTGTGTGTGTCTGTCAACGCTTTGGTTCAATCACATTCAGCATCCCGTCAGCGTTTATTCCCCCCACCAACAGTCTGCGAATCAGAGGCACAGTAGGGCGGGTCTTCGCGGAATGCGGGTGGGAAAAATGCGTGTGTCGTGTCGTCTCTTTCAACCTGTCTGAGTCAGAGCGAGAGTTTACAACAAAGAAAGTCAGAGCGAGAGTTAACAGCTCATCTAGTTGCATCTGTACTGTAGCTAGTAGCCTAGTTTTACCTACCGGGGTGGCATGGGATGGCAAATGACACCCTAAAAATAGGCCTTGCCCCAGCTGCCACCCCAGCTGCCACCCCAGCTGCCACCCCAGTTGGCAGCTTTGTTTTGAAAGAAAAGTTGTGGCTCATCTGACATTTATGAGAGAAAGTCTCTAATGTCCGAGTGCAAGTGAATGCAGCACAAGATGCACGTCTTGTAACCCCTCCCCCGGCCCTGGCGCGAGCGTGGAAATATGATTGACCCAAGTACTGAAGGAATGAGGTATTTGCGGTCTACAATGACAGAGAAGAGACTGTCAAGTTTGGCTGTACTCAGCATTGAATCAAAACGCACTAAAGCTGTTAAAAGATGGTAATCGCCGCATTCAGCTGTAATAGACATGTCAACTTGATGCTCTGCTCACGGATGAGCATACAAAACTGTTAAGATGATGACCTTACGTGTGTAAATATATTTTTTTCTTTGTGGGGGTCTGCCCCCAAAAAACAGTTTTAAGTCCTGAGAAAGTCAAATAAGACGGTGTGTAAAACTACACTGCCCAGCCAAAAAAAAGTAACCACTTTGATTTAACTAGGCCAGTAGGTAAGGACTTTCCACTGGATAATAACTGAAGTATAAAAGAATGCATGACTGAAGTGATGGAGACCATGTTTGAAGGCAAACAAAAAGAGGAAATAACAGGTCAAATCAAGCAAATCCCCCTCTCAGATTCCACAGCAACCAGAAGAACATAAATACTGGCTGGTGATTTGATTAATCAGCTTTGTGATGGAATAAAAAATGCAGGGTGCATTTCCTTAGCTGTGGATGAGTCCACTGACACACTGACAATGCTCAGTTGCTGGTGAGTTTTTATGATGAGGCAAAGGGGGAGTTTGTTGAAGATCTGTTGGGCCTGACGAACCTCAGTGGACACACAAGGGGGGCAAGACATTTATAAAGCAATAATGGGAATGCTGAATGAAAGAGAGTGCAGCTGCCTTTATTCATAACTGTGCAGCTCTTACACTGCGACTCTGAGGGATCAAGCACAGACACAATAACAATGAAAACTGCTGCATACAGATTATTTTTGTTTTTGCAACCTCGTGTTAAGAATCTTGTTGCAATTGTTTAAAAGTTTGAATGACCGTAATAAACGGACCTTTGTCTTATTGAAAAAAATGTTTTGGACCTTTAAGATTTGTATTTGAGTACCCCTGGTATAGAGTATATAGAGTAAAGCAGTGCAGTACTTGAGGAGTTGTCGTAGTGCGCCCCCTCCTGGTCCTCGCTGGAGTTGTGGCTCCCGAACAAAGCCTTGTAGTTGCTGTCTTCGTACCAGTTGAGGCTCTTGATCTGCAGGCCCCCCCCCTCAGGGTGACCACACACGATCCTGCTGACGGCCTGGTACAGAGCGGAGGGCGAGGAGGAGGCGTTCACCTGGAGGAAGAGCAGCTCGGTGCGCAGGTCCAGCCACGACTTCATGCCCGCCAGCTAGAGAGAATATATATATTCATTATTATTAAAGTATTATAAAACACAGCCACGACTTCATGCCCGCCAGCTAGAAAAGCTCTTTTAATTTGAAAACTTCAAACTACACACTTCCATTTATCAAGCATTTCAAAATAAAGCTCATAAACTGAAGAAAGCAAAACAATTTAGATAAGAAGCTCTTTAAAAACACACACACACGATTGCAGTGTTTTGTTTTTATGTCGATGCTGAGTCAGGAACAGGGTGTGTGTGTGTGTGTGTGTGTGTGTGTGTGTGTGTGTGTGTGTGTGAACTTTGCTCTGGCTATCAGATATCCTCTGCTCCTCGACCTCGAGAGAAAACGTGCTGAGGTCAAGGAAACACGAAGGAGAGTTCGTCACGTTTTAGAAAAATACAAATATTTATTGCACGGCTTAACTGAATACTCGATCCTGATTGGTCGATTTGGAGGTTGCTAATTCTGGGTAACGTGACTACACTCTGAAAAAGGACTTTGTGCGGTCGTATCAATCCGCAGAAAGAAGTCCGTCTTTTTAACGTCAGCTGTGAAAATCAAACATTGGTCTGTAGGAAGTAAGGAGGGGTTCAGTTTGTTGACGGGAAAATTCAGAATCTTTTGAAAGAAAGTCTCATTTCGGGAAATTAAGAATTTTTAAACTTAATTTGGAGAAAAACATTTAGATTTTTTAGAATGACAGACATTTTTAGAAAAAAGTCTGAATTTTTTGAAAAAAGTCTGAATTTTAATATTTTTAGGAAAAGTAAGAAGTTGAGGGAAAAGTCAGACTTTTTTCCAAAAATTCAGACTTGAGGGAAAAAAAGTAAGAATTCTAATATTTTGTGAAAAAAGTAAGAATTCTAATATTTTGTGAAAAAAGTCAGAATTTTGTGAAAGACAGGTATACAGGTAGACAGATAGGTGTCTCACCTCCACAGCCAAACCCCCCAGGCTGTCCAGCAGTTTGTTTGTTACCCTGGCAACGAGCCGGATGGCCTCTGGGTCGGTGCGAACGCTCATCTGAGAAACAGGAGAGGACTCTTTAAAGTAGAGACACTACATACTGACATAGACCTGAACATCAGCAGGAGAGGACTCTTTAAAGTAGAGACACTACATACTGATATACACCTGAACATCAGCAGGAGAGGACTCTTTAAAGTAGAGACACTACATACTGATATACACCTGAACATGAGCAGGAGAGGACTCTTTAAAGTAGAGACACTACATACTGATATACACCTGAACATCAGCAGGAGAGGACTCTTTAAAGTAGAGACACTACATACTGATATACACCTGGACATCAGCAGGAGAGGACTCTTTAAAGTAGAGACACTACATACTGATATACACCTGAACATCAGCAGGAGAGAACTCTTTAAAGTAGAGACACTACATACTGATATACACCTGAACATCAGCAGGAGAGGACTCTTTAAAGTAGAGACACTATATACTGATATACACCTGAACATCAACAGGAGAGAACTCTTTAAAGTAGAGACACTACATACTGATATACACCTGAACATCAGCAGGAGAGGACTCTTTAAAGTAGAGACACTACATACTGATATACACCTGAACATCAGCAGGAGATGACTCTTTAAAGTAGAGACACTACATACTGATATACACCTGAACATCAGCAGGAGAGGACTCTTTAAAGTAGAGACACTACATACTGATATACACCTGAACATCAGCAGAAGAGAACTCTTTAAAGTAGAGACACTACATACTGATATACACCTGAATATCAGCAGGAGAGGACTCTTTAAAGTAGAGACTCTTTAAACTCTATCACAGCTGAATCCCTGAAACTAAACTGAGGATTCTTAGGATTTCTCTCCCGGTTCCTGTGGAAACTTTTCAGACCGTCAGCAGATCGTAGATCTCTGAAACAAAAGACACAAACACACACACCGCTCTGAAAGTAAGGAAAGTTAAAGTGTGTATTCTTTGGAAACTTTCTACTGGTGTTCATCTGTATTTGGGGATAGTTTGATATATATTTTATATTTTCAGTAAATGTGTGATTCCTACTCTTCTGCAAAACATCCAAAAACCCTGAGATATATGTCAGTAATCAAACTAAAACAAAAATCATTAAAAAAAAAGAAAAATGTAAAAGGAAGACTTTTAATCTCCAGTAATGTTCCCTGACCTAAATAGTTTTATCAGCCACCGTAGTATAAAGAAATAAAGAAATGTTGGTCCCATCTCACTATTATTCAGATACACATAAAACTCTCTTTCTGTATATTAATTATTTTCTATGGCGTGATAACTTGAGTTCATGTTTGCTCTAGTGTTGACTTTTCAGGTGAGTTCACCTGGACGGGCTTCAGGAAGTCCAGGTTGTCCATGAAGAGTTTCTCGGCGGCGTCCAGCCAGCCAATCGGTGCGCTGCAGATCACTTCCTGTAAACCAGCCGCCAGCCGAGGGTCAGCCAGCGTCACGAAGTCTTGCAGCCGGCGCCCCCCCCCGCCCGGGACACAGGTCCTGCAGGTGCACGCCGTACCCCTTCAGAAGCACCTGAGAGGAGGGGGGGGGGGGGCAGAACCAGAACCAGATTAGAACCAGACATCATCAGAATCAGAACCATAAATCATCAGCACCAGAAATCATCAGAACCACAAATCATCAGAATCAGAAATAATCAGAACCAGAAATCATCAGAACCAGAAATCATCAGATTTCATCAGAACCATAAATCATCAGAATCAGAAATCATCAGATATCATCAGAACCAGAAACCATCAGCACCAGAAATCATCAGAACCAGAAATCGTCAGAATGAGAAATCAGCACCAGAAATCTTCAGAATCAGAAATCATCAGAACCATAAATCATCAGAATCAGAACCAGAAATCATCAGCACCAGAAATCATCAGAATCAGAAATCATCAGAATCAGAACCAGAAATCATCAGAACTAGAAATCATCAGCACCAGAAATCATCAGAACCATAAATCAGAAATCATCAGCACCAGAAATCGTCAGAATGAGAAAGCAGCACCAGAAATCTTCAGAATCAGAACCATAAATCATCAGAACCAGAAATCAGAAACAAAAATCCTCAGAACCAAAAATCAGAAATCATCAGAACCATAAATCATCAGAACCATAAATCATCAGAACCAAAAATCCTCAGAACCAAAAATCAGAACCAGAAATCACCACAACCAGAAATCAGAACCAAAAATCCTCAGAACCAAAAATCAGAAATCATCAGAACCATAAATCAGAAATCAGCACCAGAAATCCTCAGAATCAGAAATCATCAGAATCAGAAATCATCAGAACCAGAAATCATCAGAATCAGAAATCAGAACCAGAAATCATCAGAACCAGAAATCGTCAGAAAGAGAAATCAGCACCAGAAATCATCAGAATCAGAACCAGAAATCAGCACCAGAAATCATCAGAATCAGAACCAGAAATCAGAATCAAAAATCCTCAGAACCAAAAATCTGAAATCATAACCAGAAATCATCAGAAATCATCAGCATCAGAAATCCTCAGAATCAGAACCAGAAATCCTCAGAAATCATCAGCACCAGAAATCATCAGAAATCATCAGCACCAGAAATCGTCAGAATGAGAAAACCGCACCAGAAATCTTCAGAATCAGAAATCATCAGAACCAGAAATCATCAGAATCAGAACCAGAAATCATCAGAACCATAAATCATCAGAAATCAGCACCAGAAATCCTCAGAATCAGAAATAATCAGAACCATAAATCCTCAGAAATCATCAGCACCAGAAATCATCAGCACCAGAAATCTTCAGAATCAGAAATCAGCACCAGAAATCATCAGAATCAGAAATCATCTGAATCAGAAATCATCAGAACCAGAAATCATCAGAATCAGAAATCATCAGAATCAGAAATCATCAGAACCAGAATCCCTTTATTCGTCCCAGAGGGGAAATGTACATTCTTATAGCAGAAAAGTATTACACCGTATTTAATTTTGTCTTAATGTACATTATTTAATTTCATATTCTGTTCTTGTACATATCATATTCTATTTACATGTATATTGATTTATTGCACTACTTTTTATCTGTATTGTTGTATGTTATGATATGTGTTTTATTGTTGGAGGAGCTCAGGTCAGAAGAAGCTGCAGCTGCTGAGCATCTGATGATAAAACCTTTGAAAAGAGCCAGACGGCTTCATGTTAACTAGGAAGCATAAAGAAAAGATACTTAAGAAGATTGATCTCGTTTAATCTGAATTCTCTGGCTCGTTTTCCTCCATGATCTGAGATTTTGTGATCAATTACTAAATATTTCAGAATTTCAATTCATATTTTATTTTAGACTTAAATCTACAACATGTTAGGGTTTCAATTCATATTTCATTTATTTTTCTAATTCTAAATTGGTAGATTCCTTATTTTATATGATCTATTTAAATTGTTCATTCATAATCAATTCCATATTTTAGGACTTTTATTCATTCTATTCTTCATATTTTTAATTCCATATTTAATTCCATGTTTTGAGCAGAACGCCCTCACCTTCTCCAGGTTGACGTCGGCGTCTCGGATCAGAAGCAAGTTCTCCTCGGACATCGAGGCGTTCCTCAGCAGGAAGTTGCTCATCGTCTCGTTGTCTCGCAGGAAGTGCTTCAGCTTGAACCCTGAGGAGACAGGAGACATGGGGTGGGGGCGTGTCAGTATGCTAATGAGCTGTGATGTCATCGGCATGCAGTCACATGTCTGCAGGATGCTAACAAACATCAGGGATAAAAACTAACGTGTAATAAACTCAGATCTGAAATATCAAACTGTTTCTCGTGACTTTATCTCTCTACCCTGACGACACGTGTGATGTTCATACATGTTCTTTAACAGAGGAGGGAAGTAGTGGAGTACAAATACTTTGTTACTGTACTTAAGTACATGTTTCTGGTATCAGTACTTTATTCCACTACTTATTTTTCTGACCACTTTTTACTTTGACTTCTTACATGTTGAACCCAAATACCTGTACTTTCTACTTCTTACATGTTGAACCCAAATACCTGTACTTTCTACTTCTTACATTTTGAACACAAATACCTGTACTTTCTACTTCTTACATGTTGAACACAAACACCTGTACTTTCTACTTCTTACATTTTGAACACAAATACCTGTACTTTCTACTTCTTACATGTTGAACACAAATACCTGTACTTTCTACTTCTTACATTTTGAACCCAAATACCTGTACTTTCTACTTCTTACATTTTGAACCCAAATACCTGTACTTTCTACTTCTTACATTTCCCAAACAGGCTGGTTCCTTTAGTTTGAATGTGTGTTTGGTGGCGTGATCATTATTATTTAGAGTCATTGCGTGCCTATTGATTTGAACACGATCCGTGTATCCATCATTTCCTGGTCTTCTCTAAAGAAGAGGGACCAATGAAAACGTTGTCATGTTGCCGTTGTTCAGCATGGAAACATTCATTAGCTAACAATGACATTATTGTTCTATTAATATAAAGGGAGGTCAGGTACTCTTTAAAACAGCTGCTAGTTATGGGTACTTTTTACTGAAGTACACTTTCAAAACCTCTTTACTTTAACTTGAGTAAAGAAGTTTAGTCAGTACTTCTACTTTCACCAGAGTATCTTTAAACACGAGTATCTGTACTTCTACTTGAGTGAAGGATGTGTGTACTTCTTCTTGAGTACAGGATGTGTGTACTTCTACTTGAGTGAAGGATGTGTGTACTTCTACTTGAGTGAAGGATGTGTGTACTTCTTCTTGAGTACAGGATGTGTGTACTTCTACTTGAGTGAAGGATGTGTACTCTTGCCCTCTCTGTTCTTTAAAGGGGACCTATCATGCAAAATGCACTTTTGTACATCTTTTATACATGAATATGTGTCCCCGGTGTTCCAGGGAACTCACCAAGTGTCAGAAAACACAACCCTCTCTATTTTCCTCCATACCCAAATCTCTAAAAAAGGGGCTGCAACGGATCTGATAAAAACTGATCCAGATTTGAACACTTCAATGACGTCACAGAAGTGGCGCTACGGCTATTGGGCCAACTCTCCACCTATCAGGGGAATGTGGGGTTGGGCCACGGCCGGCCATTGCCGCTCGAAAGCGGTGGAGACGCTGTAGTACATATGCCAGGCCTGTAAGTGGCGCTGTAGTCTGCCACAAAAGCAGCGAAGACTTCCCGCCCATAGTTACCATGGTTACCCTTCTGTTTATTCTCTCCGCTGTGGCTTTTTTTCTCCCTCCCCGAGGCAAGCGTTTGCTCCCGCTGCTTTAATTCAATGCAATCCCTCCCCGTCGAGGCAAGCACTGTAATTCTCTCCGGTTAGTCCACCAGCAGATGACAAACACCCACCTCTCCGCCTCTTCCAAGGGACGAGGGGACCGTGCGGCAGAGTTTCAGTTTCAGTTTATTTCGCCGGTCAAGATGTCCGTTAAAGTTTAAATCTTCCGGACAAAATTTGAAAAGTGCCGGTCAAAGGTCTTCTTTGTTATTTATTGAGCTTTAAAACAAATGAATAACGACTCTATATAATAATATAATAAAACACGGAGGACGGAGATCTTTTTTTCTCCCCCTCTTCTGACTTGATCAGAGCACGGCTACCCTCTCCTGCAGGGGGGCGTGGTCAGCTGCAGCTCACAGAGATCAGATGTTCAGATGTTCATGATGTTCATGATGTTCAGATGCTTATGATGTTCATGTAATGGAGGAACTGACATCTGTTATGAGACATGAACGTGAAGTTTAAGAATAGTTGTCCTTCATTGGTTGAAGACACATCTACAGTTAGATCAGACTTTACCTGAATTATTATTAGCTAATGTTTACTCCACTCGTCCCCAATGCTTTATGTTGAACTACTTGCTAACATTACCGGATATGTGCAGAAGAAGAGAGGTGTACTACAGGAATATATGTGCAGAAGAAGAGAGGTGTACTTCAGGAATATATGTGCAGAAGAAGAGAGGTGTACTACAGGAATATATGTGCAGAAGAAGAGAGGTGTACTACAGGAATACATGTGCAGAAGAAGAGAGGTGTACTACAGGAATATATGTGCAGAAGAAGAGAGGTGTACTACAGGAATATATGTGCAGAAGAAGAGAGGTGTACTACAGGAATATATGTGCAGAAGAAGAGAGGTGTACGGAGGCCCGTTGGGGACAAACCGCGGGGGTGAGAGACGGGTCAGAGACGCTGTGATGAAATCTAACAAATGAGGACGAGCGTCCAGCAGAGAGACGTCTGAACCAATCAGCTGAGACACGTCTGAACCAATCAGCTGAGAGACGTCTGAACCAATCAGCTGAGTCTATTATAGGAAAATCACTACTTTTACCACTTTGTTTGCAACTTGTCTACATCAATATTCCAATGACTTGTAGACTCTCCTTGCACTATTATCTGTGTTATTGTGTTGCTCTGTTGGAGGAGCCTCAGATTGTCATGTGTACATATCTACACTGTAGCTCTGTACACATGACAATAAAAGCCTTGAATCATTATTAGTATTATCATATTCCAATTCTATTTAAATGTAAATGCTGCTATATTTTACAATATGTTTTAATGTTATTATTATAGTTTTCTTAGAATAGTTTTCCATAATTCTTGTTGTACTTTTGCTACCTGGTAATAAACTTGATTCTGATCATTATAACAACACTGTAAAAACTCTAAATCTTGCCCAGTATATGTGTCTAACATCTAATCAGAATATGTCTTTACACTCGATATAAGACCTGATAACTGAAGAGGGAACACTGCAGTGAGATAGAGGGTCTTGTTTTCAGACAATGCATTTTCCAGACTCTTGAAAACATCTCATTTTGAGTTGTATCTCAAATGAGTCCTTTAAGCTGCTGTTTTAGTAAAATATGGTTCATCTTGTTTTAACAAATAAATCACCAACTAACATCAGAACAACTAACAAGAAAAATCTTTTGAGCATTTCAGGCGTATTTTGTAAAACAAAATGTCCTGATTCTGGTCAAATATAGCACAAAATGAGTTCTCCAGCTAATCTCAAGATCTGATTTATCTAAATATCCCTTCTTATTTCAAGGAATCTAACCAAGCAAATGTTCACTTGTTCTATTAGCAGGTTTTGTTACTTATTACAAGCGACCTGTTTTCGGATGCAGGGTGAGCGCCAGAGTTTCTGAGGGTTATTAAAACATGAGGTTCCTCTGCAGGGACAGACCTCCAGAGAGAGAACTGAGTGACCCTGGGGGGGGCGCAGCTGCACAAACTCCCAGAGTTCAGAGCGGTGACCTCTGAGGACCCCCCCCCCCCCGGTCATTAGACCTCGGTCTGGATTACATATTTTCAGACTTTTATTCCATGTATCAGGTTTCCAGCCTCGACCAGCAGCAGCTACAGTAGAGATGAGGAGAAGACCCACTGAAGTCTGATCTGCTGCTACATGAAGAACCGTCCAGAACTCTCAGGTCTTCTGGTCTGCAAATGTAAAATCATGCCAAGTATATTTCTCTAATTTCTAGTCAGAATACGTCGTTACACTCGATATAAGACCTGATAACTTAAGTCTTTTGTTTAGTAAAGGCATCTTACGCATCTTTTTGAGTCAAAGTCTCTTAAGAACATCTTATTTGATAAGAAAATCTCCATCTAACATCAGAAGACAGCGTCTGAGCATTTCTGTTTTCTTTTGTAACAAATTCCGTAATTCTGGTCAAATATAGTTCAAAATAAGTTCCAAGCTAAATACAAGATGTCATTTATATAAATATCACATCTTTACTTCAAGAAATCTCACCAAGCCATTTTGTACTTGTTCTATTGGCAGATTTGTTCACTTAAAGGTAGGGTAGGTAATTCACTTCAGAAACACTTGTTATATTCCATGGAATGCTCTTAACTTCCCGATAGCAATGAATATCTTAAGTGCTTTGACAATAAATACATACAAAAATGTCATCTGTGGAAGCCGTAGTACTGTAAAAAGCACGACCAATCATTTTAGCCGGGCCGGCTAAAATAACTGGATGGCCTACCTGCCTGTCAGCCTTCCATCTGTGCACAAACTTATCTCGTGCCCTCATTGGTCATGTGCGCGTTCGTGTGTGTTGGAGGAGGGGCTCTGTAAGGAAGTGGCAGATTGTCTCCGGTTGTGTATTTTCAAATTCCAGCGCACTCGAGCTGCTTTCTCCGTTCTTACCTACCCTACCTTTAAAACAAGCGAAAACCCCTTGTTTTTATTCTATATTTACTTGTTTGTGGATCAGCCTTTGTTCCAGTGTGTCCCAGAGTCAGAACTGAACCTGGAGGAGTTCAGCTCCAAACATCTGGATCAAACTCCCAGAAACCTGCAGGTCCGGTGCAACGAAGACTGCTTTTAGATCCAGACTGAAGACCTTCCTTTCTGCCGCTGCTTTGAATGGAACTATTCATTAGATAAATAATCAGCAAGATGCAACAGAGGAATGTTCTGGAAGTTCTTCACAGAGTTCAGGAGTTTAACAGTCTAACTGTGGGAGGAAACTGACCCTGAGTCAGACCTGTCATTATTACTTTTATATTGAATATTTGTAGATTATTTTCCATATTAGCAGACTGAACCCTGGTCCCAGAGGGGTCAGGTCTCTTCAGGTCTCAGTGTTAGCAGAACTGGATCA